CAGGCCAGATATTGCCTAACACTGGAACTTTTTCTAGGTCCTAGTGTCCTGAGGATTTACCACTCTCAGCTTTCTGTAGGCCTTCAGACTACCTATCTTCTTCCTGAGAAAGAACCTTAGTTGCCCTTTTTTAGCAGTAATACCAAACCTTGCTTTTTCCCCAAAAAACTTTAGTCCAAGTATTTTGAGATGTAAAACATTACATAGTTAACTGGGATAAAATCTTTATAGTAAGTTTCTCCAATAAAGGTCTCATTTCCAAAACATATAAGGAATTGATTCAAAACTATAAAGAGCCATTCCATAATTAATATGTGATCAAATGATATGAATAGGCAGCTAGGTGGCACAGCGGCTTAGAGCACTGGGCCTGGAGTCAAGAAGACCTGAATTCAAATCCAGTTTCATTTACTGGCTATATGACTCTGGGCAAGTCCCTTAATCTGTTTGCCTCAGTTTCTTCATTTGTAGAATGGAGATAATAATAGCGCCTATCCCACAGGGTTGTTGTGAGGGTCAAATGAAATAATACTTGTAAATTGTTTAGCACAGTGCCAGGTATACTATAGGCACTATAAAAATGTTTGTTCCCCTTTAAAAGGAAGAAATCCAAGCCATGAACAGCTATGTAAAAAAAAATTTTGGAAAATTTTCCAAATCACTGAGAGAAATGCAAATTAAAACAACTCTAAGGTTCTACTCATACCCATCAAATTGACAGAGATGACCCAAAAAAAGAAAATGACATGTTAGAGGGGCTTTAGAAAAACAGGCACATTAGTGACTTGGTAGAACTACAAAACAGTACAGGCATTTTAGAAAGCACTTTGGAACTGTGCCCCAAGTCACTAAACTCTTCAATCCCATCAATACCACTACTATGCCTGTATGCCCAAAAAGGCCAAAGAAAGAGGAGAAAGATGCAACAAATGTACAAACACATTTTAGCAACTCTTTTTGTGAGGATAAAGAGCTGGAAAGTCAGGGGATGCCCATCAGTTGGGGAATAACTGAACAAATTATGGTAGGTGAATATAATAGAATACTATTGTGCTATAAGAAATGACAAAAGATATGGTTTCAGAAAAAACTGGAAGACTTGTATTAACTGATGAAAAATGAAGGAGAACCAGAGATACAATTTATATAATAACAACAGTGTTTTAAAGACAAACAACTTTGAAAGATGTTAAGAACTCTAATCAGTGAAATGACAAACAACAATTTCAGATGACCAATGATGAAATTGGATACTCATGTCTTGAAAAAGAAGTGAACTAAATTGCAAAATGAGATAGACATTTTTAGACATGGCCAGTGTAGGAAATTGTTTTGCTTAACTATGCATATTTGGTAGAAGGGTTTTGATTTTTTTCCCCCAGTGATGAGATGAGATGGCAAGGGAAAAAAATAAATGCTTGTTAATTTAAAAATTAAATTAAAAGAATAAAGACATAGGTCCTAAATGATTGTTCAGTGAGTGAATAAATGAAAATGATTTTTTCTCCAAACCATATTTTATTTTAAGAAATTTTAAGTAATCAGAATTTTAAAAATTATTTTAGTGGTCTTCATAATTATGTAACATCCCTAATGATACATTTTGCTAGTGGGCTCAGTAATCACAGATTGAATTCTGATGGTGACAACACAGCATTGATCATCACAATGCAAACGGGGTCCTTTAATTTCTCTGCTGAAGCATACCTTTCATCTTGCTTCATGCTCCTCTATCCCCACAAGGCCAATCAAGAAGTAAAGATTGTAAAGTCCATTAAGAACCTGTGGGGCTAGCGATAATCTGCTGCAACTTTGGGATGTGTTATGCCAGTAAGGCAGAGTATTGTCTTCCTTTGTTGTAACAGCTGCTGTAGCTTCAGAAAATACTGTTCCTGGATACAGCTTCTGCTATTGAAATCTTTCCTTCCCCCACCCCTTCTCTGAGCTACTCCACATTTTTTGGTTGGAAGGTATTGTGTGCCAGGCACTGTGCTAAGCACTGGAGATTCATATGCCAGTGAAAAGAAAGACAGTTTTGAATTAACAAGCATTATTATCTCTACCTCCCAGCCCCCATCTTTACCAGCAGACACTGGCCGGTGTATGGGGTGAGGTGGGGGAGAGAAAAACAAAACCCTTGCAACTAGTATGCATAACCAAGCAAAACAAATCCTCACATTGGACATGTACAAAAAAATATATTTCTCCTTCTGCACCCTGAGTCCATCACCTCCTCCATCAGAAAGCGGGTAGCATATTTCATCATGGGCCATGCTTACCTAACTTTCCTATTTGTTCATTAGGACCAAATGGTTTTCATCATTACTGCCTTATCATTTAGTTTGAGATCTTGCACATAACTTGTTCTTGATAAAACCATGCTAGCCCTTTGCTCTCACCACTTCCTTTTGTAGATGTTCACTTAATCTCACTTTAATGATGTTTCCTAGGCATCAAAGTCAAGTTCACTGGCAGATAATTTACAGACTCTCTTCTTTTTTTCCTTATTCAAAAACCAGGATCAAAAAGTATTCATTGTTGAGATGCACACTGAAGTGAACAGAAGGAAGAGAACAATTACTACTACTACAACAATAACTTTGTAAAAATGGATATCTCTTTAATGCAATGACCAAGCATGGTTCCATAAGACCTATGAAGCATTCCATCAACCTCCTGCCAGAGAAGTGATGGACCAAATACGCAGAATAAGGCACACATCTTTTAACATGACCAATGTAGGAATTTGTTTCACTGAACTATGAACATTTGTTCTAGGGTTCTCCCATCCCTGAAAAAAAAATGAAAGGAGAGGAAAGAGAAGAAATGCTTGTTAATCTAAAAAATAATAATAAAATTTAATTTTAAAGCTACAAAATCAGGACAACACTTGCCGTTTTCCAGGACTTCAATACCTCCCCATTCTCCATGATCTTTTAGTCACTCAGCAATCACACCTGCCAGTTTTTTCAACAAACAGGATCTGGTTCATCTGGGCTAGATGTCTTGAATTCACCAAAGTTCTTTCTTTTTCTATTTATATTGGATACAAACTCCCATTAGCCATCTTTGTTCCATGTCCAGGACTCTATCCATGACTTCCACTCATTTTACAGAAAAAAAAAAGATCCATTGAGACAGAATGAGCATCCCAAGATTGTACAGTTAGTAACAGAACTAGGATACAAAGACAGGTCCCCTGACTCCAAATTCAGGGCTCTTTTTACAGCAGCATTTCATCTATACAATGTATTTGATGCAATCACCAACGTTTCTTGAGTTCCTGCCACATGCATAGTACTGTCCTGGTAAAGCACAGTAATACTGAATCTATAAGTTAAAAGATTTTGGCTGTGAAAGGAAGTGATGGCCATAAAATCTGGAAGGGCAAAAGCTTTATTTTTTCCAAAACATATGATATTTCATATATAATATTTTATTGTATAGTATATTATTTTAAAATATATTTATTACATATTAAACATAATTTAATATATTAATACTTGACATATTTATTAATATAATATAATAATATATGATAATTATTACATAATAATTTCTTATTAATAATTAACACATTGATATTTAATGTAATATGTTTTGATAATTTTAAATTATATATTTAAATTAATTATATTGATATATTTACTATATATTTGTATGTAAGTATATTAAATATATATTTATATTTTAAATATATGTATATATTTCCCGATGTTTAACTCTCATCCTTCAGTAAGATACTGCTGCTATATGATACACTAACCTGCTTCATATTCAGAAATTTGGAGGGCAGTAGGTATCCAATAAGACACACCCTTCTCGTTTTCCTTACATTATTTTTGATATAATTTCAAGAAGCTACTGTCATACTATAATTTAGTGTGGGACTTCTGCCAGTCCTGATGAGAAGCACTGTGATTAAAAGACAGCAATAGTTTTTAACAAAATCAGCATCCAAGTACCACTGACTGTATCGCCCTACAAAGTCTATGAAGCAATTCTCTTTGAAATAGTGGCCTTATGCAGGCTTCAAATCCCTAATTACAAGTGTGAGAAGCAGTCATTTAAATTACACAAAATTGCCATAAATCATCCCATATAAAAAAAAAACCTACCCTGCTTAGTGGGCAGGTAAAAATATACATGAGAACTGCTGAAATGTCCACACAGAGACCCCTTGAATTGTTTATTAATTACACCAAATTTTTTTTCAATTTGTCAAGAATAATTAGACTGACAAAGTCTTATCAAACCCTGAACATTCGTTGTAAACATTTGAAAGTTAAGTAGCAATACACATGCTCTCTGAATGTAACTAAACATTGACTCAGATGGACAACTATATACTGCATTTACTCACACAATCCTTTCTCCTCTCCCTAAAAACTTGTTCCCCCAACCCTCCCCACTCCCCATGTACATTTAGGTGGCTTCTTTCCCTAGAAGGCAAAGAAACTACTCCCAAGACTTAATTGGCTCAGGGAGCCTAAGGTTCAACTCTTGTCTTTCCTGATGACTTCTGGCAATGTTGACTTTTCAGTAATTCTGCATGTTCCTGTCTACATCCTCCCAACTTCCCTCTTAGGTGACAGGGCTAGAGTCTAGTCAGACTATCGAACCACTCATTAAAATAGTTGCTTATTCTCTTCTTGGAGATCTCTATGAATGTCAATGCTACAACTTTTCTTAGTTTTAGTATCTGATAACCTTTACTATCAAGGCGTTTTTCTTCATATCCAATCTGATGGTTTTACTTCTGCCTTTCTGGACTTCTCCACCTTTCCTCAGTTGCTCTCTCACCCTAGACCTTCTCTCAGCACCTAAGGCCTCCTCACCCTGAAACATCTATCTGCCCCATCCCATCCTGGAACATTCTCTCTGCTATTCGTCTTTCCCCAATGGTAAATTCCTTCTAGGGCCTCCCCTTTAGGGAGTGGCCCAAGCCAGCCAACCTTCATTGCCCTCCTGGTTCTGCTTTCTGATTTTCCAGATTTTGACACCAGGCTGCTGCTGCAAGTACTCTCCCAACCTGCTTTAATTCCCTGTTTGTGTGTTGTCTTTCCCCATGGGAATGTAGGCTCCTTGAGGGCAGGAACTCTCTGTCTTTTTGCTTCTATTTGTTTCCTCATTACTTAGCACTGTGCTTTATATATAGTAAAAGCTTAATAAAACTGAAATGAGATAGACACTACACATAAAGCACTTCTTATACCCTAAAGCGCTATAAATGCTAGCTATTATTTTTTTATGTTGCCTTGCTTTCTTATGTCAATTTAATTTTCTCATTCCTAGAAAGAAAGAACAGGACATAGAAAAAAGTAGCAAAAACAGTAAAATTTGTTCTTGGCATCCTTCCCGTGGGCTCCATTTTTCGGCCATCCCTCTCTCCATCCAAACTACGTACGCCATTACTTCAGGTCATGCTGTCTTCCAGGTGACATTGGTTAGGAAAGAAGTGAACAAATACGTGACTTCCTGCTGATAAGTAAGCTGACTGCAGCATCCTAACTTAGTTGAAATATTCTTTTTGATAGTTGTGCTTATGTGAAGACTTCAGGCTCTAGGGCAGTCCAGATGAGGAAATATTTTTAGTCAGGGAAGACTGCCTACATCCGTTAAGTCATCTTACTACAGCTATCTAGATTCTGTGATTCTGCTGTGTCCTCTTACGGATAAAGCTCGCACTAACCTTTACACAAATTCTTTACACTGAGTTTCATTTTCATTGAAAACAATAATCAAATCACCTCTTTTCTGGGATAAACCTAGAAAAAACTTTTCATCACACATAACCTATTATCTCCCTTCTGTTTAGTAACTTTAAATCATAGACTTTAGTTTTAGGCATTTCAAACCCTGGTATTAAAAAATAAAACATCAATAAAAATTCCTGGATCCAGGAATTCCATTTTACTCTCCTTGTCATTTGTGGGTTTCACTTTGCTGTCTTGATTAGTCACAGGTTGGGGTTGGCCTTCGACAGTGGGATTTTTGGAGATTTGTGATGTACTGTGGGAACATCACATAGGACAAGCACATGTAAAGAAAACCAAAAAAATAAGTTAAGTCAGAAATGCGTACTGTATATTATTTATCTATTTTGTAATTTATTGCCATAAGTATGCAGGACAGCTAGAGAACAGAACCTGGAATCAAGAAGACCTGAGTTCAAAGCTGGCCTCAGATGCTAGCTGTGTGACCCTGGGCAAGTCACTTAACCCTGTTTGCCTCAGTTTCCTCACCTGTCAAATGAGCTGGAGAAGGAAATGGCAAACCACTCCAGCATCTTTGCCAAGAAAACCACAAATGGGGTCACAGAGGGTCGGACTCTACAGGACAACAAACTGTAAGTATACACATATAAATTTGTTACAAACAGTTAAATTTAGTTTAAAAGTTTCAGTGAGCCTAAGAATTACTGGCTCCTCATTCTCTCTGGGAACGTGTCCTCTTTGTCTCTACCATCCAGGCTCAGTCATGTGGTTTTCTCCCTCAGTGATCCTTGTATCTTGGGCTTTTCCTAGGTACCTGTTGTTTATCCTTCGTTCTCGAAGAAGACCGTGACGTCAGGGGGGTGACGCCATGACGTGCAAATGAATTGGATTTAAGTGAGGCAGCGCTGTGCAAGGTTACCGGCCTCACTTCCATAAAGCAGGTGCTGCAGCTGCACCAGTAGCCAGGAAGACGCTTCATCGTGTAAGAGATACTAATCTCTCTTGTATAGAAACTGCAACCTTTTTGTGGGTGCAGTGTGTTGTTTTACTTGTTTAGTGTGTGAAATAAATATGGTCAGAATTTTTAAAACTAAGGGTTTGTGGTCGGGACTCGAGTTATTTGCAGTTTTTCACTTTCTCAGGAGTCCTGCGCCCCTAACTCCTGAAAATATTGAGAGACGACTGTATGACCAAAAATGTCAAGACAAACGGAAACAGTGTCGTGCGGTTAGAAGGAGCACTGTGAGCTCTAGAAATGGACCTGGATTCCAGTATTGCCCCTCTGATGTGTGACCTCAGGCTGGTCATTCACCTTTGGAAGCCTCTACCGAAATGAGAGGATTATTCTAAATAATCTTTGCAGTCCCTTCTGTATCTAAATCCATGATCCTTTGACTTGTCATTCAAGATCACTCTGTGCATTTAAGTGATAATGCCAATAAATACAAGTAAGTTATATTGGATTTTCTGATATGAATGTAAATCATTGTTTTCCATATATGCATATATATATCCTTATAATATTTGTATCTTTAAATATAACTTAGAAAGAATGGCCAATCTGCCTGCTACAGATCTAAGGGGCCATCCACAAATCAAATGCAACCCATGATGCATCCTGTTTCAGCTACATTCTGAAAATTACAGCCAGCACCCCCGGCCAGAAACAATCTTTTTTTTCTTTTTTGGCTAAGCAATGGGGTTTAAGTGACTTGTCCAGGATCACAAAGAAGAAACTCTTTCTTTAGGGGAAGCCTCTCCCTCCTTCTCCCTCCCCCTCATCCCCTCCTGCAGAAATTGTGAAGGCGTGGGGAAAAGCACATGAAGAGCTGTGATTAATCAGTTTGTTTTATTTTCAACCAAAGATGTCACTCATGACTCTTCAGCTGCTCCTGAGGCTTTTAAAGCAGCTCCTGCTATTTCTAACAACCACAGCAGCCTCAAATGCCCAAGGGTGATTTAGGGAGATGGGGGGAAAGTTACATATGACATTCTCAAAAGGAGAGAGGGAAGGAAAGACATATGTGTTGTGTGCATATGTTGGTGTGTGTGCTTGCAAACTTAACAAACATACTGAAATCAACGGCCTGTGTGCAAGAAATGGAATTGAAATCATCCATAAAATATAGAATTGGAAAACAAGGTAGATGAGCCAGGTAGCAGAGTGGACATATGGAAAACCTTAGTGCTGCACCCAGAGATTTGCTGGTAAATATTTAATAATCAACTTCCCCCCCCCAAAAAAAGTGGCTAAACACACTTTTAAATTTAATCTGCATTATTAGCATCTCCTCCATCATTTCCTCAAGTTGACCTGCAGGATGTTCAAGCCTCCAGTACAAATGGAGGGTTTATGAGAGACTTTGGATAAAGTCCCAAAGGATGAGAAGAGGTGGGTAGGCGGGTTACAATCTGTTCCTTTTAAGGGAGTACCCATCCCAGTGACACCATGGATCCATTGAAGGGAGAGCTAGTACTCAAACAGCCTAACAAAATAATGAAGGCTGAGTGAATCCTGTCCCTTACTATTAGCTTTATAAAGGGATTCTACAGTATTGACATGTATTGTTCTTTACAGTTGCAGCTTTTGTTGCTGTTGTTTTTAATGTATAAAGTATCAATATTTACCTGGAACACTTAAGAAAGAATTTACTAGAGTTAAATAATCAAATTCAGTGTGACAAGGGCCACTATTATTAACTTGTTGTTGAAAGAACTGAGGATATTTAGCTTGAAGAAGACTAAGGTGAGCTGTGATGGTTGTCTTCTAATGTGGAAATGTTTTCATACAGAAGGAGTGGACCTCTGGGGGCAGAACCAGGACCAGTTCTATTCCATAAGTATTTATTCAGTTGTTAGTGTGGCAGGCAGTATGGTGGAATAGAAAGAACTCTGTTTCTGATGTGGAGGATCAGGGTTCAAATCTTGCCTCTGATGTTTTTTACCTGTGTGACCTTGGGCAAGTCACTTAAACTCCTTTGGCCTTACACTAATGCATTATTGGTGGAGATGAGAATGAATACAGATATCTTGAAAAGCAGTTTTGAATTATGTAAATAAAGTAGCCAATATGTCCAAAACCTTTGCATATACCTCAAGAAACTCATTGATAAAAAGTAAAAAAAATCTTCATGTATACCAAAATATTTATAGTAGCAGTTTTTCTGGTAGCAAAGAGTTAGAAACAAAGTAGATGTTCATCAATTGGGGAATGGCTAAAGAAATTGAGGTATGTGAACATGATAGAATATTACTGTGCTATAAGAAATGCTGAATGTAATGACTAGAGAGAAGTGTTCAAAGACTTACATGAATTGATACAAAGTGAAGTTAGCAGAGCCAAGAAAACAAACAAAAACTACAATAATGTAAATGCAAAGAACCACAAAAATAATTAAAAATCAATGTTGCAAAATTACAAACAAGTTTGAAAACAAGAAAATTAGATAAGAAGACACATCAACTTCATTCCTTTGTAAAAGTAGAGTGGCCACAGGTGCAGAATATTGCTTATAATGTCAGAGTATATATATACATGTATAGATATATATACATATTTTAATTTGTTTATACATGTGTATATATACATACATATACACAATATACGTATATAGTATATATGCACGTTTATATATACAACATACATATACACATATATGCATACATATACATTTTACTTACTTTTTTTCTCTTTAAAGATATTATAAGGAGTGGGTCTTTGAGAGGAGAAAAGGAAGAGTTTCGGAGGGAAATTTAGGAAATATATTAATAAGGTACATTTTAAATCTCTCCTGGACCTCAATTTCTTCATCTGAAAATAAAGGAGCTGGACTAGTGGACCAATCGTCTTCACTACGATCAACACCGACTACTGACCAAGTATCACCAACAGGCAGGTAAGCCCAAGGAATAGCTGCACCATCACCACTACCTGAAGACCACTACCCCTGCTTCCAGCCCAGGCAGGGCATTCATTATCCAGGAAAATGACCCCATGAAGAAGAGGCCAGCCATTCCCACCAATAGCCACCTGTGAAGCAGACAAGTAAATCTAATTAAAACAGCAAGTACCTTTAAGGAGAGACTGTAGGCAGCATGTGCCGTGCTAGGCTAAGCACTGCCATTACCTTCACCACCATGGTCATCATCTCTCCTCAGACCTTGCTGGAGATAGCCTAGGACCCTGAACCCAAGAGTCCTAAGAACAGTACTGCTCCCCAGACCACTGGCCCTATTTCCAACCTAGCCCCAGCAACCATCATCCAAGGAAGCAACACTGATGGAGATGTAACCTGACAACTCTAAGTACTATTGAACTTGTCTCTTTAGTAGTCATAGCTAACTGAAGAGCCAGGAAAAAAAAAAAAAAAACGTTCTCACCACCAATGTCTTGGCACTATCAAATGGCTCAACTTCAGAAATGGACATAATTTTACCAGTGAAAATGGAAGATGCATTACTATCTGCTTTGTGGCTGCCCCCTGAAGACCACAGGCTTTTTTCTTTTGACTTAGGTTTTGACTTGGAACTGAAACTTCCCATATGCAATATCTCTCCAGTTCGAATGAGTTCATGGGAAGAATCAGCAAAGGCCTTCTATAGAAATTAGCTCCTGAGCTGAACAAGTACTTCAGCACAATATTCAACCTACAAACATGCCAAGCAACAGAAAGATAAAGGTAAATAAGTACAATTATCATAGAAAAATAAGTAATCTAACCAATTGTCCCCATGTGTAGAGGTTATCAGACAGACACACAAACACACTGACCTGTGAGGTTTTGAAAGTACACACGAGGTAAAAGACCAAGTGAAGGAGAAGTGAAAATGGAGGAGCCGGAAAGATGTACCATTGATGAAAAACACCAGGTTCCTTCTATTAGTGCATCAGTGCATTTTGTAGTAAGAGGGTGCATAGATGGAGAGAGGCAGGAGAGGAACAGAGGGTAAAGGATTATGTACCCCTATCTAGTCCATAGATGAATAGCAATAATGATAAGTATCTCATTAAGAAGTGGGGTGAGGGCAGCTTGGTGGCGCACTGGATAGAGCACCAGCTCTGAAGTCAGGACGACCTGAGTTCAAATGGGACCTCAAACCAAAACACTTGACACTTACAGCTGTGTGATCCTGGGCAAGTCACTTAATCCCAATTGCCTAAACAAATAAAAAAGAAAGGGAGTGGAAGAAGGATACAAGAAAATAGAAGTCTAGAAGACTAAAAAGCAGGGAGAGTTTCTCCCTGAAGAGCACTACATAGAGGAAGAGGAACATACCTGAAATGAGAGATGGAGACTTCATGATGGGTTCAAGCTGGGATCAGTTGGCGTATGGGGAGAACACCTTCACAGACAACAAATTGGACCCAGGAGAAGGGAGATGTGAACTCTCAGGAGCTGCTAGCATATGGTAAGCGATCACCATTTACCTATCGATGAGATGGCACAGCTTTTGAGAAGGAAACAATAATAGGGATTGTAGGGGGTAGAATT